ATGGCCAGCTAACCCCAGTGGTGGCTGGTGACCACTGAGGCGGTGGCACTGCCAAGGACAGTCCCGGGTTCTGCTGTGTATTCACTGGGTACAGAGAAAAATGGTGTGATACTCCCAGAAGTTTGGCATTTAGGAATCAGGAAGCGCCAGGTAGCTGGTTATTGCTCATGGCTTGCAGTAGATGCATCTTCCATGAATGGTCTAAAGACACCCAGTGTCCCATCACTGCATCTTGCAGAGTGGTGTAGTGGAGCCGAGGTTCATAGGAACAAGGCACCGATGCTTTCCAATCAGCAGAGACACTGACATTCTCTGCCACCCACTTAGAATCTCATGTTTCCTCTGGACTTGTGAGAATTATAGCTAAAGAAGCAGGAGATGGATTTGCTCAACAACCATATAATGCTGTGAGCTATTTCAGTTGTAATTCAAAATATTTTGGAGTGGTCTTGAATTGGCAATTCTGATCTACTGGTTTTATTTAAAGAAAAAAAACCTGCCCAGGGCAGAGATGAAAACTGCTAGATCTTATCTGAAGGTATGGATTATTGGTCTTTGCTTTCCAGCGTAGCAATAGGGGTAGGTCATACTGAAAAGCTGCACTTTAAAATGCCTCACAGCAGCACCGGCTTTGGGCTGCTGGGTAACACAGATTCTTTGTGGGTGATGCTCAAGTGTTCAGAAGGATAGACTAGCCTTTCTTATGGGAATTTTACACAGGGTTGAAGTATGATTGCTTGGGAGTTGAGTAGAAGGGAAGGTCTCTGTGTTATTGATGATTAGCCTCAAAACTAGACTGACAATGAAGAATGTGAAGCTCCCCTGCCTCTTCCCATATGGTTGTTCCTTTGGTGTGGCACCTCAGTGTTTTCTCAGCAAACTTTGTCCTTAATCACCTTTTATTGCTCTCTTGTTTATTGCTCACAGTATTGTTTGCACTATGGAGGCATACCTGTGCATAAATAAATACTAATAAATACCTGTGCCGCCTACTGATTAAACTGGTTTATGGAGAAATTCTATGGCTCCCTGGCAGATATTTCAGATTCTCACTTCCAAGATCAGAGACAACACTCCATTTCCATTCTGTTTTCAGCGGAGCCCATTTCTCATTCCTCTTTTACAGGCCTTGCTTGCCCCTGCATTCCAAAGATTCAGCAAAAGCAGCAAAACAACAGATGCTTGGGACCAGGATACCTGAAGGAACGTCTTTTTCCCTATATGCCCTCCCACCCCCTAAGATCTGCAGCAGAGGCCCTTCTCCGGGAACCCTCCCTGAAGGAGGTTAGGAGCGTGAACACCTGGAGGAGGGCCTTCTCTGTGGTGGCACCCCGACTGTGGAATGCGCTCCCCAGAGAGGTTCGCCTGGTGCCAACTTTATATGCTTTTCGGCACCAGGTAAAAACCTTTTTATTTGCCCAACATTTTAAAGCTCAGATCATTTTAATCTGGTTTTATTAATATCAATATCCTCAGTTGCATTTTATCTTGTTATTGTATTCTTTGATAGTTTGCATTTATTGTTTATTTATATTGTAAGCCATCCTGAGATGATTTGATTGCATAGGACGGGCTAAAAATATTCTAAATAAATAAATAAATGATTTTTGACTCATTAAAGCTGAAAATATAGCACAGTGCACTGGCAATATCAAGAGATAATACATGTAAAACATTTATAAGGAGGAGAACATGAAACTGAATGTCAGGTGGAGAGATTAAATGAGAACCATATAATGCTTACAGAGAAAAGATAATCATTAAGCCATCAGGCAAAGTGTGTTACATGTAAAAGTTCCAATATCTAGATGTAATTCTTGCTCAGGCCTACTAGAAAAACTGTTTGAGTACCAAAAGAAAGAGCAACGATATGCAGAAGTGAAGGGCCAAAAATACCTAGGAGCTTGAACTGAGCCATAGTTTCAGCAGGAACAGTTGTTTCAGGGAAGCAGCTAAACCTCAATGGTTGAACACTCGTGTTTCCCATGCAGAAGGTAGCACTAACAAATGGGGGGGGGGGATTCTGCCCAGAAAACTGGGAAAGCTCCTACCAGTGAATGCCCACATTCAGACATTTGGGACCAAACCAGGGAACCCGGACATGAACAGCATCGATTGGGTTTCAAGGCAGTAAAGCAATGCTTTATTTGAGCAGAATTCTGATCTCAGGCAAAGTTCTGAATAAAGCCAGCCAATAGTGAAAGCAGAATGTAAGCAGCAGAACACAGAGAAAACAAGACCCTAATAATTTACCCTAATGATTTTCTTATCCTTCTCCTGATATGGTTTTGCTTGTGTCTGTTGCAACCATTCAGATGCCAAGTCTTTTTTGCTACTAATAATGTTTTACAGTAAATGGTCACATCTTTTTTTAAATTGAACTTCTGTGGTCCCCTGTTGGATTACTTGAACCTACTCTACCTCAAGGTGTTTACAAATGCTGGACCATTTGAGGGATGTCTAGTGGAGACAGCAAAAAGGAAGTAAAGATCGTCACCTGGTGGTAGTGCGAAAGTGATTGGAAGGAAGAGCGAACAGAAGTAAGGAACTCTGTTTGGCTTCACTTCCATGCTTGAATCAGGATATAGCTGATTACTGCTACTACTACATTTCATTTCTATACTACCCATAGCCAAAGTTTTTTGTGCAGTTCGCAACATTTACGTCCCCCATCCAGATTTCAGCCAGGTTCAACTCTGCTTAGCTTCCGAGATGAGGCAAGATCAGGCACTTCAGGCCATACAGTTCCCATGAGCAGGGAACTTTTACATCTGCTTCTGATGCAGAAAATTGGTGGCTACTTTCCACCAAATGCTGGTGAAGAGCAGTTCCTTACTAGCTACCATGACAGAGGACAACATTTTCTGGCTTGAGTAATCCAAGACCTTATAATATACAAAGAACCACAATGGATCAGACCAAGAGTTGCAGGCTAGTATTCTGTCCACACAGTATTGGTGTCCATCGATGGAATGGAAGTGGTTCCATTGTTTAAGTAGGTGCTGTGAGAAGAAGAATGTCCTTTTATCTGTCCTGAAGTTCCCATCAATCAGCTTCATGGGATAACCACAGCTTTTGGCATTATGGAAAAAGAAGGGAAATGTCCTTACTTTCTCCACACTGTACATTCGTCTGTGCACCTCTGTCCTGTTCCTCTTACCTTTTCTCCTAGTTAAACATTCTCAGCTATTGTGATCTTTCCATGCAGGGGAGCTGCTCCAACGCCTTCATCATTTTTGTTGTCGTTTCCTCCACTTGTGCCAACTCTATAATATCCTTTTTTAAGGTATAGAAACCAGAATTGTAGACAGTATTCTGAGTATGGCTGTACCACATCAAGCTGAAACATTTCAGCCCCAGGGCCACAATGGGTCACCGGGAAAGCCAAGGAAAGGGCAGCTGGAAAAACTCTATCAGTACTAATACTAGGAAGACTAACAACCACCACCCAAGATGCGAGAAGGAATAAACATGCGAAACAAAATAAGAAACTCTACAACAAGTTACATTTCAGCCAATATTTATTTTTTTATTAGGTGAAACATATTTAAGTTTTAAAATTGGCAAATAATTTGAGTACAGATTGAATTTTTTGTAATAGCGTATCCTTGCCAGTCAAACAGATGGGCATCTGTTGAATATTTTTGTGGCATAGGCATCAAACAGCCCTGCCTATTCTGGCGTTTCCAGAGGTTTTGGACTGCATTCCTCATCATCCACAGCAAGGGATAATTGGAGTTAGACTCAAACACCTCCAGAAGGCACCAGATTGAAGGCTGACTTAAAATAACACTCAAACCAGTGAGTGCCGAAAAACAATTTCGTCAGCATTACTGGCTTTGGCTGAGTCAAACGCCACCTGCAAAACAGGTTAGATTTTGCTTGCCCACTGGAAGCAAGATAGAAAAAGAAGAGTTAAAGGGTTTCTTTTGGGAAGGCATACTATGGTTCTGATTCCACAATGAAAAGGATCCAGTCTCCAGAGTTCATCTGTTGTGTTTTAGATACAGGGGGAAGAGAGAATGAGACAATGAACAGCATAAACCTTGATCTGAGCCAAAATTTCTTAGAAAGCATTTTCTCGGGAAACATCTTGAATTGTTTTCTTTTTCTTAAATCCCCTTCCCTCCCCACCAAAGAAGAAAAGACCTCCAAAGACCACCACACCGCCAAAATGTCTCTGAATACTGCCCTCCATTATTTTTGAATGGTGGCCGCCATTTTGCTGCCACAGTGCTTCAGAAAGACATCCTGTCCCTGGTGCCATGGAGGGTTCAAAATGGTTTCTGAGGCCAGATGTGGCATCGAGCGGAAAAAAGAAACTCATTCTCCAACTCATGGAAGAAGAGCATTCATCCTGCCTTTGGAGAAATTAAGCAAAGCTGTTCTCTCCTCAGCCCCACAATACGGTGGAGAATTTCAAGGGGCCTTCAGCACACAGTTCTGCTCTCAATGGCACAATGTCAAACAAATGATACCCCACCTACAGGGAGGAAGGCGGAAGAGGGGGACTCTGTAATTCAGTCTGTCTTGATCAGGTGACTGACACTTTCCAAGCCAACTGAGCTTTTGTGTCACGCAAGGCCGGAAATTCCCAGTGCAGAGGGCGGGCACGCACGACACCCCTGCGGGCACGCACTTGACCTGCTGCTGATTTCTTGCACTGAATTTGTGCCTGCCTGCCTGCCCGCCACACTTCCTACTCCAGGGTGTTGCATTGCCCTTCCACAATTCAAGGGACACCCTGCAATTCCCAGATTTGTTCTCAATGTGGACAAGAACAAGAAAAGTTCGCGAGTGTGAAAGGCCTTTGCTCAACCAACACCCAAAGGAGAAGGGAGGAGAGTGGTCTTGGAAGAGCCCTCCGAAAAGGGGTACTGGAAAAATATGGGGATCTAGAAAGTCATGCTTCAAACCTGCGCACACGTCTAAAACCAAACAAATTCACCACTGTGGAGACCAGCACAGCGATCATTAAAGCGGTGGGGAGGGGACCCAGCTCAGGAGTGCCTGGTCAAGAGGAACCCGAGCACAGCAGTCAGAAGAGTGAGTGGGGAGGCAATGGCAGCCAGGGTCCCTGCATCGGTGCAAACGGGTTTCTTGGACAGCTGGTACACTTTCCCTGCCAAGGGCACCAGCTCATTTACTTCCAGGTTGCAGGTGTTCGCAGAAGCACAGCCTCTGATGGAGAAATTCTGGTTCTTGTCATCTGTGAAGAGAAATAAGCAGGGTCTCAACATCTTCCTGGCACGATATTCTTCTTACATTTGGGGCTGCACTTCTGCAGCTAAGGGAACTACCACACAGAGGCATGTGTGGAAAGATGGGCTGCTCCACACACACCACTCAGAGTGGTGCTGAGTAAGACAAACAGTTCCACAGGAAGCCGTCGGTTAGCCCTGTATTCCTTAGTCCTGGTTTGCAGTGGTGAGGAGGAGGAGAAGCCATTCCAGGGAGCTCTTGTTTGCAGGCTCCGGATGGACGGGGCCCCTTGTCAGCTGCCAGACCAAGCCAACTTTGTCCCCAACCCTGGGGCTCTGTGGTCCCTCTCCCAGGTCCCTGCAGCCTTTTTCACAGTCAGAAACTGGAGTTTTCAGATCGGGGCATCCCCACTTCCACCCTCCATCACCAGCTCCCAGCTTCATCCCACAGTCTGTCCTATCTCAGGTGAACAAAGCAGGTGATACAGGTGTTCAAGGATAGGCTAGACATGCACATGCCATGAGCGGAGCCGACTGGAGCCAAGGGTCAGACTAGATGACCCAGGAGACCCCTTCTGATTTGCTCAGTTTCCTTGTTTCTATGCATTCATAGGGATGTATCGATGCTGTAAAGTCCATTTGGGCCACATTTCAAGGACCACAAGGCACCTTTCATTCAATTTTCCACTCACTGACAGAATCAGGTATCCTGCAATGCACCTTTGCACAGGTTCAGGGTTGCATAGAGTTGCACTCCCAAAAATGCAGAGGTTCCTGGCTGATACCCACATGCAGCCCAAATCACACTTGCAAACTTGAGCCTTTGGATGAAATATGACTTTTTGGTCAGTGGGGTTTTTTTTTTTTTTTTGCATTATTTGTAGGTCATGTATTTTTTCTATCACTAAATTTGTGTAAAGGTACATAAAATAAAAAGGTCTCCAGGCCCGTGGAACACACAGGACTTGGGAAAAGCCAGTCTGGGCCAGAATCCACAGGCCTTGTACTTACAAATTCAAACTCACTGGAGTCTGTTGCAGAATTTCCAGAATCCTTGTGCGTGTGTAATACAACTGCCATCCTAAGGGGCCTTTTCCCTAGAGGGAGGGTGGGGTGGCTGTGCCCTAGATGGTGGGGGGGAAAGGGATGCAGAAAAGCAGCAGAAATACCGATAGAGGTCCCTTCAAGGGTGATGCACTTCTGTTCAGCGCCGGTGCAGGCAATGTGAGCTTTGCTCTCACACAGGTGCTGGTTGTAACTCTCACAGGCTGGGCAATTCACCCCATTTTCCAAGGAACCAACAGGAGGCACTGTAAAACAATGAGGCATGTTTTTTATTAGTAGGGGCAAGGAGGATGGGCCTCATGTAAGAGGCCAGGCATTAGAGAGGAGCATGGTGCTCAGCTTCCAGCAGGTCTCATGGTCAGGTAATATCAGCTAAGGTGCTCCAATCCTTGCAAAGCTCCCACTTTGAGCCAGATCTGAACAGTGGCTCCAATGTGGAATTCCTGCCAGATGCTCATGAGGTCAGGGATGGGCAGATGTCAGCCTCCTGGGATGTTTTCCTTGGACCTTAAGGCCCACCAGCTGGGATCAGGTGCAAAATACTGGCTCCAAACAGGCATGCACCAAACAGAAGTAAGGAAAAGCCACCCCACACACACCGTCCCAAATGCACAGCTCAGACTGAGACTCTTTTCCCAGGATAGCAACTGGCAAAACAACCCATTTCAGGGACTGGGTCTAGACGTAAGTCAGATAACATAACGTAGCAGATGTAGGTTTCCCGCCTTCTCCTTCCAAAGCAGTACCTCCAGGCTCCTGGGCTGACTTTTGATTCATTTATTTGATTTATCTCTTTCCTTTTTCTTACAAAGAACTCAGAACAGTTTACAGCCTTCTTCTCCCGTTTTCAATCTTCTCCCCACAACAACAACAACAACCACCGCCACCCTGTGAGGCAGGCTGAGCTGAGAGTATGTGACAAGCCCAGAGGGCCCCATGGCTGAGCAGGGACTGGAACCCAGACCCCCTGAGTCCCAGTCCCATGCTCTTAACCACAACACCACTCGGGCACTCTTGCTTACACAGAAGGGGGTGGTTGTGTTGGTGTGTGCGGTGAAAGCTCCTAAAACTCAACCCAAGGAACTTTGTGTGAGCCGACCCACTTTGCTGGCAGAGCCCTTCCCCTTGCGAAGGGTCCCGGTCCGCAGCCCACTGCAGGCTTTCTTCCTTGCAGTAGCCACATGTCCCTGCTGCTTGTTAACAGCTGGAAGTAAGACACCCATGCTGACAGGTGGCAAATCACCTGCCGATCGACAGGGAGATCCCAATCTGCCGTTTGCCCATCCGCGCTGCAGGTGGCCAGTAGAGGAGGCATGCCAGGCTCGCACCGCCACCAGGGAGTGGCCTCCGGAAGGGCTGCTTCACTCCGCCGGAGAGCAGGAGTCCCCACCACCACCCCTGTCCAGGAACGCTTCTCAAGCCCAGTCCGTACCCACCAGTTGTGTTTAGATTTTCATTGCACTTCTCAGAGAAGCAGCAGGTGAGGCTGCTCCGGATTGTCCTCCCAGTGGCTGTGGTGAATGTGAAGGCACGTGCTTTGCACTCTGCTGGCTTAAGGCAGCCCTTGTAAGTTCCTGTGGGAGACTCTTTTCCGCCTGCAGAAAGAAGATCAGGATGACCCACGTGGCAGAAGCACAGGGAAGCAGGGAAGCAGGACCATTCCATGGGCTCTGCAGGGAGACTCATTCCACACGGGTCCCCCCTCCCTTCACTGCCATTTGGCAGCCGCCATCCCATCAGAGGGAGGGATGAGGAGGAGAAGGAACGGCTTCCATTCAAGCTGGCCCTTATAAGAAGGATGAACTTTTAAAACCTAGCACCTTGTTTTCCTCTTCCCTCCCCACCTCTTTTTCCTTTGGCAACACACCTTTTACATGGTAAGCCTTGATCTGCCCTGTCTGTTTTTAATCTCACAGAGGTCACCCTGGAAACCACTTCCGCAGAACAGCAGGGCCAAAGTAATTTGGCTTGCCTAATTAACTCTCCCTTCATAAATGTCGTAGGCTGAACACGTTCTGAAGCTGCATTTTGAAATCCATGGCTTTTCAAAACATGCGTGTTCCATGCTTCCATCTTCACTGCCTGTTAAATCTTGGCTATTCAGTGCAGAGTTTTAAGGACAATCCCACCCAGAGGCATCACTAGGTCATCTCCACAGCTGTTTGCAAAACTCTGGGCACAAGCCTGCGACTAGTTCTCCTATTTTCCAGAGAAAGACCAGCATTGCGAGGGTGTGTGGTGGGGACCTCGGGAGTCTGTGCTGTACTTACAGGGTAGCATCCAATATTGGCCATATATAAAATAGACATGTTGAAATTAATGGGGCTTAAGTTAGTTGCGCCCTCAGGAGGTGGCCATGGAAAGCTGGCTGGCTAAACCTGGAAAGGCTCGCCTGAATGGCACTTTTTTGTCTAGGTGCCATCTCTAGGCAGGGCTGGGAAGTGTCTAGCCTATACCCTGGGGAGCTGATTCAGCACAAAGCATCTTCTGGTATCTCTGTCCCAGCACAGGGTGTGGCAAGACCGCTCTGATGCGTCAAAGGGGTCTGTCCCCACCCAGCCTAGAAAGGTGCACAGGTGAACCGTGGGCCTTCTGTGTGCAAAGCGTGCGGTCTGGCTTGAGCTAAAGGGCCTGAAGACCACTCACAAAAAGAGGTCCCCTCCCCTGCCTCACTCTGCATTACAGATGGAGAAGACCTTGCTGTTATGTTGGGAACAAGTTCTTTTGCAGAGTAGAAAAGAATCATTTGTGCTCACACACAGCCATTCTAGGTGTTTCTCAGAAACCCTTCTCGTTTGAAGGCAAGCAGACCCAGAGCTGTGACGGATGCTGGGAAGCCCCAGGAAGATGGGCTCAGGTCAGGTGATGCTGCTGGGGGAATGAGGTGAGGGAGGGTGTGTGAGCCAGTCACCCTCAGAGCTGTCACTCATACAGAGACGCCACGGGGCACCTTCTCTTTGAGTGGTTCCACATGGGAGTGACCTCGGCTTATTTTAGCTATTCCTCCTGCAGCTCACACACCACTGCCCCAAGAAATATGCTGTGAGATACTGGTCCTTCCCGTTTTGACCTCCCAAGAACCTTCTGGTTCTGCTCCAGCAGGTGATCACAGTCTATGGTATTTCGAGCCTGAAGAGAGGGTTCGAGATGAGAATTTAGGTTCCATGCAAGAGTTCCGGACCATGGACAGTCTCCACGGGGCTGAAGACTTTTGCACGCACAGGCTTCACAGCTGCATCAGAAACAGAGACCCTTGACTGAGGCATAAATAGGACTGAAACACCGTGTCTCCTGGGGAAACCTTCTCCCAGTTTAAGGGGCTTTGCCTGCTTTAGCAGCTACTGACTCCCATGGCATTTGGAGGGGCACCATGTCTTTGGATCGTAAGGAGATCAGCCCTGCTGGATCAGCCCAAAGGGACATCCAGCCCAGCATCCTCTGTCCCATCTAAGTCCCCTGGCTAGTGGTGTCCGGGCATACAGCCTCTGATACCAGAGGTAGCCTAGAGCCATCAGGACCAGCTGATCTCCAACCTGGTGGTCCATCACTACATCTCATGCAAGCAAATCCCCTCATCTATGCAAGATCTCCCGCTGTCCCTGAGCTTGGCGGTAGGAACGCAGGATCATCAGGCTGCTGGGTCCTACCCCTGCTCAGCACATGACTCCAAGTGGACCATCCCTCTCAGAGGACTGTCCAGCTGCCCCTTGGATGCCTCCAGGGTGGGAGAACACACCACCTCCCTCTATCGTCATACTGCTCTAACAGTCAGGAAAGTTTTCCTGCTATCTGGCCAGGATCTGGCCTCACTGCAGGGTCTAAGGATCACACAGGCTTGGCGCTGAGAGACATTCCCTTCCACACTCCAGCATTTCCTACAAGGTAGCCCAAATCCAGTCAGAGACCTCAGGGCTGAGCAGATATTCGAACCCAGCCCTGCTTAATACAAGAGGAACACAACTCCATCCAGCCATCACACCAAAAGTCTTGCGGTCCTGGTATTCCTAGATGATTGCACTCACCTGTTGTGCTGCTTTCTGTTAGGGTAACACAGCCTTCTTCTGTGCAGTTTTTAGAAGTGCATGTACTGTTTGTTAGCTCACACGAAGCACACACGATATTTGCAGCTGGAAAGAGAGAAAGGAGGAGTTACTCCTGGGGCTACAGAAGGGGCGCAAGATGCCGGGCTTCACCCTTGGCCCACAAATTCACAAGCTCCTCTGCAGAGTGGCTGAGGAGAGACTGGACATAGATTGCCCTCCTGCTTCCTAAGTTCTCCCTGGTACGTACCAGCCAGCTGAGACGGCAGCAGCTGGAGGTATCCATCTGGGGTCCCATCTATGGAGTTTTGTTCACAGACTTGAAACGGGCCATGTCAGAGAGGCTTAATAGTACTCACCATGAGCCCAAGGTAGAAAAACACCCAGGAGAAGGAAGAGCAAAACTTGCTTCATGGCACCTTAAGAGGAGACGGGACCGGCCAGCTAGGAAACTCGCGAGCTGCAAAGTGATTTTTAATTTATGAAGCTGAGAACAATCATATTGGCTACAAAGCTAAACTTCTTTTGTTTTTATGATGTAGAGAACATACACAGCCATGGGGGTCAGCAGCTGAGGGACCCTGAGCCTGCCTAGCCACCTGGAGCAATGCCACCTGGTCCCCCAAATTGCCAACACTGGGAGGAAAGGTGAGCAGCATCCAAGAGCGGAAGGCCAGGCACTTCAGGCAAGGGCCACACATTCCCAGCCCCTTCCCAAAGTAGCCATTTGGAAATCCAGTTTTTGACCAAGGACAGAATCGTGTTTTATCAAGACAAAAATCGGCCCTCACTCAATGCAATTTGCCATTGAGAGATGAGGAAAAGCGAGTCACTCCAGTAGCACTTTCTGCTACTGAATGTACCATTCCTGCTTTTTCCAACACTCGGCCATCACCATGAAAATGCTGGTATTTAAATTGTGAAACACACACACTGCTTGCCAGATTGGAGGCTGGCATTGCAAGCGCAGGCCAGTGAAACCTGCTTGACTGCCATACCCACCTTCATTCCCGGCAGTATTTGCAATGGAGCCAGTAATCCTACACTCTAAGCACACAAAGCCACACACACACAACTTTCTTCTTCCTATTATTATTAATATTACATTTCTATACCACTTATAGCCAAAGCTCTCTTGGTGGCTCACAACATTTAAGTCACCCATCCAAATTTCAACCAGTCCTGATCTTGCTTAGCTTCCACAACTAGGCAGAATCAGGCACATCTGGCTAGGTGGAAGCTACCTCATAATATAGTCCCCTAGCCACAAGCCCCTGCCAGACAGGATGAACTGTTGTTCTCATACAATTCAGGCCCGACCTCAAAAAGTCCCTTCTGGACACATCCTGGAAACAACAGGTGGTTTGTTCCTCCCAGGTCTCTCCTGCTTCCCCTGGGAGTATTCCGTCCAGCAGGAACCGGGGAAAGAACCTACATCTTCCTGCAGCAATTCCCAAAGTGGTACAAAACACAATGGGTGAGCCACTATTTTTCCTCTTGGCCAAAAATCCGAAGCTACAGCAGGAGAAATTCAATCCCCAGCAAAGTGATGCTTTGGACAGGGGGACAGGGGATTGGATGGCTCTGCAAGGGAGAATGAGGACTCCCACATTGATGGGGCTCCTCATCTATCACATCCTTTCTTCTTGGTCTAATAAGAGTTATCCACTGTGCCGATCTCCATTCCCAAAATAGGTTCATCCCCATGGAGCTGCATGGATAGCTCCTATAAACCCGAAAAGAAAAGCTGCAATGGATAATCACTGACAATCCTTTCTCCCTTGTGGATCTACTAAGGAAAATCATCTGGCAAGCAAGGGAAGCCAAAGTAAGTTCAAGAAATCTCTCAGGACAGTTGCTCTTGACTGAAGCACAGTGTGGGAATAATACCGGAGCAAAAGTGTCCTTTCAAACTCGCCTCCAAGTCCTCCATCATGACTCCCAAGGGCCAATATTTTCTGCGAGGAAAAGAATTGGCAAATATTTCTCCTTCCCTTCTCGACCTCAATATGCAAGATTTTGCAGGAACGCATTGAAGTGTCTGACTGAAGGCACAAGGTTGCATTCCAGATATGGGCTCCAAGAGGCAGCATGCAGCAGTGTTTGGTAAAGTTTGCGTTTATCTTGTGTATTCGGCTTATTGGCACACTCCACTTCAAAATCCCAGTGGCAACTTGAAAGACTAAATCTTGGCTGATCAAAAACCCGCATTTTGAAATATGAAAAACTGGCAGACTTTGGAAAGATGCAGACCTTCATTTCAGCTCTGCACGGGAAGTACGCCTGACCCTGTGCAAATCTGAGCAGACACCAAAAGCACGCTAGTAACGCCGACGCATTGTAGTCTTACCAGCTTTCCAAGATGCAAAAGGTCCACTGCAGCTTACCTAGGCGGTAGAGATCTGGCGGATGAAATATTCCTGCAGTGTCCTCGGTTTTCCTTTTATACCATTCGCAAAGGATTTGTTTAGGATGGAAAGTTACATATCAGCTGATACCAGAAAACGCATTAGTTCCTGTATGCCATACCTGATGGGTTTATGGCCCCTCCAGACCTGTTAATATTAAACTTCAGCGCTGTGCTGTCCAACAAAGCCACAATTGCCTAGTCCTTATGAATACGTGCACAATTACTTCATCTTCAAGATAGGTTGCAGCTCTACTCTGAACTGGTCTGCTTAGCCCCAAGGTGCAGAAGGACTCAAGAGTACCTTTGACTGTTAAGCCACCGTGTCGGATGCGTCCATCCACATGCCCGTCTGAAGGCCCCACGCTTCATGGTGTCCTTTTCCAGCAGGCCGCTCTAGTGTCCTCCCAAAGGAAATGCACCAAGATTGTTTGAAGCATCCATTCATTTATGATGGGCTGCTGAACCTCGGGCGTGTGGACCACTTCCAGCTCACCTGGGAGCCAGATCTGGACCTCTAAGATTCCTCACCTGGCCATGCTCTCTTCTCTCCAATGGACGATTGCTTTTTACTGGCTTGTGTGTGGCTCGTCCTCATTCTAATGGTTGAAATCCCCTCTCCCAAGGTTTCCTGACGGGCGGTGGTGAATTTAGCCAAAATGTGCTGCCGCTTTGGTATTTTGATCCTGCGGTTTTCTGGACATTTGCTTTTGGCCCCATTTCCCTTCAGCAATGGAATTGGGCCTTTGGGTTGAAAGCGTTTGCATATCCTAATTTATGCTCTCGAGACCCCCCCCCCTCCACCTTTCAGCTAGGAGCATCAGCATTCCGATAATCAAGCCTAAAACATGTGTGACAGTACTTAGGTCCACATTCTTTTCCACAGGGTGGTATAGTCCTGGCAGAATATGGGTGTTTCCATGCTTTCCCAATATGAAAGAATGGCTTTACTTGTCAAACAAGCAAAGTGCTGTCCGGTTAGCATTTTGACTACTCTTTGGGGCCGTTTGTGTCTGGGAGAAGAAGGTCTGGGAGTCAGGATTCTGAGGCTCATTTCCCATGGATCTGTCGACTTTGCTCCTGCTTCCTCTCCTTTCCCACCACTTCCCCCTGTCCAGTTGAGGAACTATTCCTCTTATCTAAAATCCAGTTCTCTGAGAACTGTCCCTTTGTCTCCATTAGGGTAAAAGTAATACAGCCAGTAAATCAGTCATGCTGCAAGTGTGTCAAAAGGACTGCCAGGGACAGGCCTCTGAGATAAATAAATAGAAGGCGTGGAAATCCAATTGAAATATTTGTAGCTTTGCTGTTATTAATAGCTCTGAGCAAGCTGTGGGGCAGGCAGTCCCACTGCCCCATATTATTCAGCTACTGGGCACAAACAGCAGAAAGTGGGACTGATCTTCACTCCTTGGTTGTGGATACCTAAAGGCATTGGACTGGCCTTTGCTGGAAAACAAATGTTGGACAACCGCAGGGACAGGGCCCCAAAGCTGGATGAGGCCCTGAACTTAATTTCTGATTGATTGAGTGAGTGAGTGAGTGATTGCATTTGTATGCTGCCCTATAGCCAGAGGCTCTCTTCCGCGGAGTTCCTCCAACCATCACCCCGAGACAAGCCAAAGGGAAAATATCAGTTGCAGGAGAATTAGACTTGAAGGCCTGCTGGTGTGTAAATTGCACAACAGAGTGTGAGACAGGCAGACTGCAGAACCCTCACAAAGCAGGACGAGGGCGAGGAAGCCCATCCGGTCCTCGCGAGGTGGGCATCGGGGAGATCATTGGGCCTGCCCATGTCACATCACCTCTCAGGATCTACCGGACTCAGATTTCCTTTAGCAGAGGCAGGCAGGAGTAAGAAGTCCATAATAATCAAGGGAATCGGTCCTGGGAGCCTGGTGACCCAACAGGGCTGCCAGCATTAACACACCCAAAATTCTGCTTTGGCCAGCTAGACACGCCATCGTGTCCCACGATGAGACAAGCAGGGTTAAGCCAGCTCAAGTATCATCTTAAGCCACGGTGCACGGGGGGGGGGGGGGGGGGGGGGGGGGGGGGGGGGGGGGGGGG